GTGTGTGTGTGTGTGAAGGAGTGGGTGCCCCATTGAGTGTAGAGAGGACACGCATGCTGCTGGTTCTGAGAATCAATGTCCTTGCAAAAGGCCACAGCGGCGTCTCCATGGAGACCCTTGACGTTATGATCAAGGCCTTCAACGGTATACCACTATTCCATTTTATTCTATTCTGTTTTATTATACTATTCTTTTTTATACTATTATATTCTTAGATTATTATTGGATTTTAGACTCTTTAACACCCCACAGACTCTCTGAATTTGTATAGCACCTTTCAAACTCAGTGACAAATGAATAATTTGCACAAGGTAAAGAAATGCATGATAGCAACAATAAACAAACACAATAAAAAGCAGAGTAATATTAATAATAATAACTTTTATGATCAGTAAAAGTAGAATAAAAAACTGCTGTATAGACAGTTAGTGAGTGATTGATAACACAGTTTAACATAGCTGTAATCATACGAACAAATCTCTCCAGTGTGTTATAAGGAATTTATTAACTCTCTGTTTATAGCTGTGTCAAAACCTCATGTTCAAGGATCAAGCAGGGACATGTATTTATCATTATACAACACAAGGTTGTACAATGCAATTAAAGTTTGCAGTCCCTTCATGCTGCATACATAGAAAGAGTTCATTATATCGAATTAACAATAACTAATAACAATAATAATAAGATAAAATAATAATAATACAGTTATATAAAATAATGTTGAGCTTCAAGGTTTGTTATGAACATGAAAATAATAGCTTGACAAAAAACGTTTAACTCAAAGACAATTTATCAGATTTCTTCTGGGGCTTTCAGCTGCCTCTAATGGCCTTCATCAGCAGATATAGTTGGCTCAGCTGGATGAATAAATACTTCAGTCATAATAAATGTTTCATTAATGAATATAACAAATAGAATACATATTAATAAAGATGTATATATTCATATGAAATATAAGCACTGTGGTATATACTGTCACACATGTCCTTGTATAAGCCTTCAGCTACACTGTAGTGTGTTATGTTGTACAGTGAGTTCTGTTAATAGTTTACATACTGTCTAAGACTGAATAGGTGTGTGTGTGTGTGTGTGTGTGTGTGTGTGTTTCCAGCGTCCTGTTTGTCCTGGGTACCAGAAAAGGGTACTGTGGGAGCGAGTGGAGACTTGGCCCCCCTGGCTCACCTCACGCTGGGCTTGATGGGGGAGGGCAGGATGTGGTCACCACAGAGCAGCTGGGCTGATGCCAGGGCTGTGAGCTTCCTTACTGTTCCACACAGTGAAAGCCTTTTTTTTTTGTTCCACTTTCTAATAAGATATACGTACAATTCCTTAATATAAATTGTAACGGCTTTATCACTGGCCAATAAATGCTTTTAGATCTATGATGATGCTTCTGTTAAAGTGAAAAGGCCATGACCCTTATTATGGTTTTAATTCAGAATTACTGATGACCCCAATATTCAATGTGTTATAAATGCTAATAAATCACTGACAAAGGTTTTTTCGCATACAATGATGAATCAGGTTAGGAATTATTATTAGTTATTACTAAACTGATTTTGGTCTGGATACTCTGCAGCCAGGTATAAGTCAAACTGGCAAGTTTCAGAAAAGGATCCAACCTGGCAACCCAAAAGTTGTTTTCTTAATGACTTATTACTGGCCTATAACCATGAAGTAATGATTTATTAGCTATTTTTCATCATAAGCTACTCACAAACCTTTTGTAAGTAAGTGATTGTGTCTATGTTGCAGGTGTTGGAGGGCCATGGGCTCAAACCTCTCTCGCTGAAACCAAAGGAGGTACTAGGCTTTTTTCTTAAGGGAAAACTACTGTTTATTAAAACTTTGCTTTTATTTTTGTTGCCCAGGCTGTAATATATATTATATAGATATACTGTAGATATATAGATATCTGTCAGTTAAAAAACAAATCCATGTAAAATTACAGAACAAAAGTCTTATTTTTCAGTGATTATTTACAGTACATTAACATAACTGATAGAGAACATGACCCGAGCGACAAAAATAATATCCAACCATTAATAAACAGTATTTTTCTTGCAGTGCAAATAGATGAATATTTAATTTTCTGTTCATCAGTGGATTATTTTAATTATTCTGGTCGTCAAACAGGGACTCGCTCTGATCAACGGGACTCAGCTGATATCGTCTCTGGGTGCGGAGGCTGTGGAGAGAGCTGTGAGCGTGGCCAGACAAGCTGACGTCATTGGAGCCTTGACTTTGGAAGCCCTGAAAGGCACCGCAAACGCCTTCCACAGCGGTACCTCTAGAGACTTTAAATTCCCTGACTGTTGACTGGAAGCTTGGATAGCCAGTCATGAGCATAAACACATGTTAACAAAATAATTGTTTTATCTTTGTTAAAATGACAAGGTGTTCAACTTCTGCATAACAGTACACCATCAGATTGAAATATGTTCAGAAAACATTATGTTTCAGCCTCACAGAGAGACAGAGGAACCTCAATTATGGGATCAGAGGACAGGATTTACCCCTATAGTGCAGGTCAGGAGGTATTACAAGCTAAATTCATTTCAATCACATATGAATCAGGCTATAGAAGTGAAAACAGTGAGTGTAGTTCACCATAGGCATTTTTCCCAGCAGACATTTGGACTTGGACTGGTGAGAGTAGGATAAGCACAAGTGTTATATTAAAGATGACTATTCATGGCTATTCAAGCGTCCCAGTGAGTCAACATGAACAATACCGGTATCCTGAAATTAAAGCGGCTAAATGGAATTCAGCCTAGGGCAAGTGCTGAAAAATGTATCCCAATAAAATGTTTAATTTCAGTCGATTCCAATAATTATTGATCATTTTTAACAACATATTAAAGACCAGGTGGGAAAAAGGTTTCCTTTAGAAACTTTATTTAGAATTCACACACTTTTTTTTATCAAGGCACACAGGTAATAATTGTTAAGGTTTGTTGTATTGTTGCTGAGTACCTAACAGATGTTGCATAACAGAAACAGGACACCAAAAGAGTTCTACGCTTGCTCTGTGTCTGCTGGATATATAAATAAAACCGTTTGCCTAGAAACTATATAGGGTGGTAATGTAAACATATTGTGGCTAAAAAAAAAAGATTGAATACTGCTTTAAGAAGTGAGAGCTGCACAGTCAGCAATTCCTAGCACTGCATATACAGGATGGGCCAACTAATCAGTATGTATGTATAATATATCAGGATACTTTTCTTTAAATGATATCAGTGATGGTAATTCCTGTTTTCTATTTTTGTATTTTGTTACAGATACTGTAATGTTAATGACTGTCTTCTGTTGTTCTGTGTGGTGAAGGAGACTTCACTCCTTGTGCACATAATCACACTGCAGACCGTACAACTGTATTAATGAAGAGAATTGCTGTGTTGTAGCTATCCACGCAGTGAGACCTCACCCCGGTCAGGTGAAGGTGGCTGGGAGGCTTCGCTCTCTGTTAGACTCTGATGTCTTCCCTTCTCAGATCTCAGGTAGGACCTGCATGAACTGCACAATATTGGCTTTAAGAGTTCTGTGTTGATAACCCCCACATACATTGAGACAGAGTACAGTTACTGAATGTTATTCAGTAATATGTCAAATTGAATATGTTATTATTATACATGGTTGGAATTTTTTAAAGGTTGTATATATATATAGAGAGAGAGAGAGCACCAGCATCTCAGACAAAATCAATGGGCGCTACGGCCAACCAGACTCCATTGACAAAACCAATAATTTCAATTGATAATGAAGAATATTTTTGTTAGTCTTTTCATAGTCTTTCCAATAGTCATGCACGCTGATGATTCAGGCAAAGCCTTAATTCACTGATGTAAATGATAAATACAGCAGTTTCAGTCTCTCTACTCAGCTACAGACGAAGCAGACTGGCATTGCAAACAAACCACAGAGAGGCTGCGATGTCATTCATGACTCCACTTTACACATCAAATAGTTGTCTGCTGCTATATTGTTTCAAATCTCATATATATAACTTTTAAACAATGACTTCAGTAATCATGTTACTTGGCAGTTTCCTCTCTCTGATTTCCTCATGATGTTCTTCCTGTAGAGAGTCATAGATCATGCAATCGTGTTCAGGATGCCTACACCCTGCGCTGTATCCCACAGGTATAGTGTATGTGTGTGTATGTTAATAATAGTATCTTGTTCTATTTCAGTTCTACACAAGCAGTGTTGAGCCTTTGACTGAATGAATGAGGCAGATTACTTTATTTGGCTGTGCCTCTGCTTGCTGCAGGTTCATGGAGTGGTCAATGACACCATCGCTTTTGTCCAGAATGTGATTTCCACTGAGCTGAACAGTGCCACAGACAACCCAGTATCCTACAGGAACAGCTGCTCATGTTACCCCACAATGTGTCTGTGAGAGTTGTCACTTTAGACAGCTCTTACGTTGTCTTATCTGCCACTTCAGACTTTTCTTGAAGCCTTTGAAATGAGCATTTGTGTATAATTATGATCTTCTGACAGAAAATGTTATATTTGTCAAAAAGAAGTTACAGCCAGTTATGGAAGCCCATTTCTGCAAATGTGATGGGAAAAAAAAGATTCTGGAAGTCATTATAATGGGAAACTTTCTCAAAAATACTGGTAGGTAGATTTTATTATCTTTGGACAGAGACCGACTAGCCCTTACTTCCAGTCTTTATGCTAAGCTAAGTTAGCTAGCTACCAGCTCCAGTTTTATATTCAACAGATTTTATATTGAACTGTCAACAAAAAACGCAAATAAGCGTATTTCTCAAATTGTTGAACTACGTTGAACTTCAACAATCTTTCACCTCAATCTTTATTTAGACTCCTTAATATGAATGTCCAAAATGGGCCCTAAAAGTGTTTAACATTAAGGAGGAT